AAATAAAACACTAATGACATAAAACACTAGTTGCAGATGCAGAGAAATATAATCTTGTATATAACGCTGGTGGGAATGCAAAATGATACAGGCTATTCTGGAAAACAGTTTGGCAGCTCCTTTCAAAACTGAAAATAAACTTATCATATGACCCAAAAATTGTACTCTTAGACATTTTTTCCCAGGGAAAAGAAAACTTATTTTCAGATAGAAACATATACATGAATTTTCATAGCATCTTTATTGGTAGTAATCCAAATCTGAAAATTATCCAAATATCCTTCAATAAGTAAGTGGTGAAACAAATTTTGGTATATCCATAACATGGAACATTGCTCAACATATAAAGGAACAAATTATTGATACATACTTGGATGTACATCAAGAAATTAATACTGAATAAAGAAAAAAAGGATACACATTGCATGATTGATTACTTTTACAAAGCATTCATAAAATAATGATAATTTTAGAGATCAAAACAAATTAGATCGCAGCAGCTCAGGAGGATGAGATAGGAGGATTGCTTCAAAGCCAGCCTCAAGAACTTAACAAGGCCCAAAGTCACTCAGTGAGACCCTGACTCTGAATAAAATATTTTTTAAAAAGGGCTTGGGATGTGACTCAGTGATTAAGCATGCCTGGGTTCAATTCCCAGTACCAAAAAGCAAACAAGAACCTATACTATGTTCTAATTGTTATATATAATATATATATAACCTAAAGAATTAAATCCTATAACAATACATGTAYACCCATGTTAATAGTAGAAGAATTCACAAGAGCCAAATTATGGAACCAGCCTATATATCCATCAATGGATGAACAGATAAAGAAAATGTGGCATACATATATAATAGAGTTTTACTCAGCCATAAAGAAAAATAAAATTATATCATTTGAATGAAACTTGAGAACATTATGTTAAGTGAAACAAGCCATACTCAGAAAGTCAAGGGTTACATGTTTTTCTCTCATATGTGAAAAGTAAAGAGAAAAAAGGAAAAGAAAGGTGTGAGGGTAGATCTCATAAAAATAAAGCAAGACCAGCAGAATAGAGGAAGGGGATCTGAGGGGAGGAAGGAGGGGAAGGAAAGATAAAGTACTGGGTAATCATATAACCAAATTAAACTGTTCCATTATGTATGTGAACAAATAATTCACAAAATTCCACCATTAAGTGTAAATATAATACATAAATAAAAATATAGAAAAAAAAGGTCTAGGTTAGGAAAAAAGATATGTCTTCCACTGATGGTACAGTTAAATATGCTAATAGTGGCTATGGTTTCATGAAACTACCCATGTGATACATTTGCACAGAGCTACAGCATACGCAAGTGAGGACTGTCTAACTGGTGAAATCTGAATAAACACTATGGATCATACCAATGTCAATTTCCTGATTTTCTTATTATACTATAGTTAGGCCAAATATCAATGATGGGACAACTGGTAAAGATCACACAGAAATTACTTGTATATTTCTTTGCTTGTTTTTATGGATTTATGATCATTGTAAAATTTTAAATGTATACAAGTAGTACTTGTATATATGGGGTACAGTGTGTTGTATACATTTATGGGGTACAATGTGTAATTATTAAATCAAGCTAATTAACATATCTAATTACCCTACTTATAATGTTTTATGGTGAGACATTTGAAATCCACTCTCAGCAATTTTTTTTTTTTTTTTTGGTGTTAGTGATTGAACCCAGAGGTGCTTTACCACTGAGCCTCATCTGTAACCCTTTATGTTTCTTGGGTTTTTTTAATTTTTTGAAACTTTGAGAAGGGGTCTCACTGAGTGGCTTTGGGCCTCAAACTTGGGATCCTCCTGACTCAGCCTTCCAAGTGACTGGGATAACAGGCAGGTAGGACCACACCCAGCTATCTCAGCAATTTTGAAATATTGTTGATTACTATTATTGCAGTGCTTAACAATAAAGCTCAAAAACCTAGTTAGAGATCAAAACAAATTAGATTGCAACAGCTCAGGAGGCTGACACTTCCTCCCTCTCCCCCCACCTCTAGTCTCATAACCACCATTTTACTCATTACTTCCAGGGCAAAATTTAAAATGTTTTGTTGCTTTTAAAATAAGACCTGTTGAGTAGGGTAAATATTCCTAAACCAAGTCTTCCTTTCTTTGCTCTTTGCCCAATATATGCAACTATCATTGGAAATGGATCCCAATCCCAGTTCAGTGGCCCATTCCTTCAATAAGCTCTCCTACCACTACTCTTCCCTAGTTGTTTGGCTGCAACCCCTCAGTGGCTGAGTAAACTCTGCCAGTTCCTCAGYTGCCCTTAACTCTTTCTTAGCCCTTGCTCACCTTTTCTGTGGTGCCTCTCTCCAGGTCAGCTRTTTCAAGAACAAACTTAAAGAACTTTTGTCCCTATCTTGCTCCATCAGACACGGAACAATTTCAAATGCTGATGGCATTTTGCAGTGATTAAAAAAGAAAAAAAAAAACACCTAAAGCATGGCAGAAGGGCCTTGGATTTTTATATAAATAATTTATTGTATATAAATTCTCCCTAGAGAAATTTGTGTCAGTATACAGAGAGCATCTTGCTCTCAGGGGACCCATGCTGCCATGCTGTTTGTCTATAAATTCAGCACCACTGATAGCCATCTGCAAACTGTGTGGAGTGTGTGGGGGGGGGGGGTAGGACTATATAAAGGGGAACACCACACTGTTATTTCTTTGTGAGATTAAAACTTTTATCCTAATTTTAAAATTTTCTGAATTATTTTTCTTTTACAAACAAGACTTTAAAATTAGAAACCACGGAATTGGCCAAATACWACCAGTTTTTATCCTTTGATATTTAAACATATCAAAATATTAGTGATAAAAGTGAAAAAACCAGCCTCTACCTCAGAGCAAAGCCTGTCCAAGGAAGGGACATGACCTTAGTCCTTGGAAAAACCCACAGAGCACTCCTAAGCACATTCCCACGCTGYTAAGTTGTTTATCTACAAATAACAGGAAGAGATCTGCTGTGCCAGGTGTCCCTGATTCTGTCAGGCTAGGTGGGGACCCATAGCAGCACCCTAGCAGCCACCAATCAGCATGAGACAGGGAAATACCTGGGATGCCAGATAACCCTCCCAGTGGTTTCCATGGTTGATAACAAGTTGGGAAACCATGTAGTTCAGCATGTACACCCATGTACAATCAGTTCAAAGGAATACCCCTTTTGTACTGACCAATCACCCCTACCCAACTTGTTTCCGCCAGTGAATGTGCTAATCATGTTTTAGAGTTGTTATTTGATTTTCCCGCRGTGTGTGATGATTTGCTAAAATAGGCTATGATGTATGTGAAGTCCCTGCCCTCTCCAAAGAATGTGTAAAAATGCTGCAAACCCTGGGCTGGGGCCTCTCAGCATCACCAGTTGCTGTGTGTGTGCTCGGAGGACCAAGCTAGCTCGCAATAAACACCTCTTTGCTGCTTACATCGATCTTGGGTCTCTGGTGGTCTTTGGGGGTCCCGAATTCGAGCATAACAAAAGCTCTTTATWTTAAAAAATTCTGTAAATTCTAACATTCAATTATGATATGCATTTCACCACAACATTATACTTATGCCCCTTAAAATCCAAAGCTGAGACTGTTGTAATACTGCTTTTTTCCACTACTTATTGTTAATTAAAAGGTAAAAACTAGAACCAGGATATATGCAATCAGTCTTTTGAAGTTAAAAAAAAATCAATATCCTGTAATTGAGAATATTTTAGAACAAATTTTAATAAGCAAAAAAGTCAGGAGAGAAAAAAAATGTTCTTTATTATTTTCAAGTTGAAACCAGATCACTATATCCTACTGAAAAGTGATAATTGCCCACGCCTTCCAGGCATCTATCCAATTTTTCTCCTCTAGCAGATGCTAAAGAAAAGGAATAGAGTCAGGCTTGTCCATTTCTATAATGTTTACAGATGTAACATATTTATAATATATTGTTGGGGACTTTTACACAAGTTAATAATGAAGAAGCAAAATGGTCTCTGTCCATGTATTTGTGTACTTCCTTAGGTTTATCCTCACACTTGGAGTTGGGCAGATAAATCATTAAATAACTGCTATGCATATTGTTGAGGTTTGGATAAAAAGTATCCCTCCCAAAAGTTCACRTGTTGGAAAAATAGAAATRTTTAGAGGTGAAATAATTAGACTACAGAGCAGTAACTTTATCAATAGACAAATCTAATTGATAGATTAACAATTTGAAAGGATTACTGGGTGGTAACTGTAGACAGATGGGGTGTGGCTGGAGGAAGTAGATCACTGACACTGTGCCCCAAGGGATTATATTTTATCTTTGGCTCCACTCTCTCTGCCTCCTGAGTGTGGTGAGCTGAGGAATTTTTCTCCGCTGTGCCCTTCTGCTGTACCCTTCTGCTGTACCCTTCTGCTGTGATGTTCTGCCTTGCCTTGGGCCAGATTGATGGAGTCAGCAGACATGGACTGAACCTCTTAAAATGTGAGCCCAAAATAAATTTTTTGTCCTCTAAATTGCTGTTGTTGAGTATTTTGGTCACAGGAGAAAAAAAAAAAACAAAAACATTAAACAAAGATGTGTACTTGTGTTAAGGGCACAGAAGTGTAAATGAGTCCCTACCCAAAGGAGTGCAAAATAAAGTACTAGAAGCACATGAATGTATGCATATGAAAGAATTGGAGCACAGTGTGCCTGCAGTGAAACAAAAGTCCTTATTATCTGAGACTAATACAAACACAATCTACTAGTGGTAATGTGACAATAGCTTGAATGTCTCTCACTCCATAATCAACTGTACTAGCATCYAGTCCAGCCATTCCAATTAAACTGTGTGCCTAGTATGTTAGTACTTTGTTTCAAAAACAAAGTTCCCTAGTTTCCTCTCTACTGAACCAGCCAGGATCCCAGCAGGACATCGATGTCCTACTCAAATCAGAATAATTTAATAAAAATTTAATAAAGGGGCTACTTACAAAACTTTGGGTAGTATGTAGGGAAATCTGAATGGATATCAATTATCCTGAATCTGTTTTCATCCATTAATCTAAAGAAAGAAGGGAGAGGAACAGATAAGAACCATAAAGGAGAAAATCTGGTAGAGAGGTCAACTTCAAGGAGAGCTATCACACTARATTGAAGGACACAGTCAGCCCCAGGTGGCCCCACAGGGAGGGACCCAGAACAACAAACACTCTGGCCCCTTTCTCCTCCCTTTCTCTAAAATCTTGTGCTCAAAGGCAAGAAATTTATTGCTGAAGGCATATAAGTAAGGAGGTGGAAAAGAATAGAGTCCTGATTCCTGGTAGTTAGAAAATCAAACAACTTTCCATCGCAGAGAGTTGCTGTGAAAACAGATGACTCTAGGCACATTATAGACTCAAACATACCTCAGACACAGTAAGTAAATGAGAAACATAAGTTATTAATTACATAATGAGAGTTTTTAATTATTCTATTTAATTTTGCAATTATATATGCCTCCTGGCATTTTCTCCCTACACCATAGGCACAGAGGGAGGAGAGCCACCATTTTCCTGGGTGGCTGCTGTGACTGTATTCAACATTTGCTATGTATGTCATCTCATTTCATTCTCCCTAGAAAGTATGAGAAATCATTAAACTATGGGAAAGGTGAAGAGAAGAAGCTCAGAGATGGGAGGAATTGACCAACTCTAGATAGGGCAGAAGGGTAGGAGGGGAAGGGAAGGGACAGGGGGTTAGCAATGATGGTGGAATGTGATGGACATCACTATCCAAAGTACATGTATGAAGACATGAATTGGTGTGAACATACTTTATATATAAACAGATATAAAAAATTGTGTTCTATATGTGTAATAAGAATTCCACTATCATGTATTTAAATGCATTCCACTATCATGTATTTAAAAAATAAAAGCAATTTAAAAAATTTAAAAATTAAATTAAAAAAAAAGAAGAAGCTCAGATACTTTACCTAACTTGCTTATGATTATAATTAGGAACTCTGGTCAAATCTTTAGTCAATTATTTCTCCATTACTTTATGTGATAAGTTATAGATGAAAATTTTTTTCATCAAATTGATGGGAATATGAGAAAAATTTGCTAAGAATAAAGCATCCACCACAGGGTTTTCCACATGAAAGACAGTCAATAACTGGTTGACATGATGAGGGGGAGAAGCAGGAAGAGAATGATGGTTATTGTGAGGTGATGGTGATAATTCCAGTGATGGTAGGCACTGAGGGCACTGATGGTAAKGTGAACTCAGGGCTAAAGATCCTCTATAACAGATACCAAGAAGGACCAAAAAGTGGAAATGGCCCCTCTCCATCTTACCAGCCACATCTTTACCCACTTCACTCATCCACATGGTTTATTATCCAAGGGTGCAAAGGAGGGCAGGCAAGGAAAGGGAAAGCAGGAAAGCAAGACAGTTCTTGGGTGAAAAGAATAAGGAAGCAGAAAGAACTGTTAACCCTCTGCTTACAATATTTTTTTTTTAAATAAAGTTTRTCTAAAGTCACATTTGAAAATAAAGTGCTTGGTAAATATGCCAAGGGCAGAGAGAATTTGTAAAGCAGGTTCACTTCTCAAAGGCCAGGGTTAATGGCATAATTGTGGTTTTGAACATTTTCTTCATATGGATTCCTGCTCCCAAATAAGGGTTTAGATATTAAACTGCCAAAATTAGATTCAGAAGGCAACTTCAAGCACTATTTTTAGGTAAATTTTTTTCTTGTATCATTTTAACAAACAACTGACACAAAATATTTAATTCTCATAAAAACAGCAATATTAATGATTAAGATAAATGTCATTTTCCTAATAATGTGCCAAGGAATTGGTCTGTTGTAATTTTGTATATTTGGAGTCCTGTATGCTTCCTGTATTTAATTTTCTACTTCATGTTCAAGATTTGAGAAAATTTCTGCTAATATTTCATTGAAAAGATTGTGCATTCTTTTGGTTTTTTTGTATCTCYGAGCCTTCGTCTATCCCTGTGAATCTCAGGTTTGACTTTTAATGATATCCCATATTTCTTGAAAATTCTGTTCATGGTCTCTTAACATCTTTTCTCCATGATTAACTCTATTTTCAAGATTATGTACTTTGCGTTCATTGCCTGAAAATCTATCTTTCAAGTGGTCTAGTCTATTGGTGATGCTGTCCACTGAATTTTTAATTTAGTTTATTGATTCGTTCATTTTGAGAATTTCCATTTAATTTTTCTTCAGAATTTCTCTTTCCTTACTGAAGTGATCTTTCACTTCTTGAATCTTGTCTCTGATTTCACTCCTTACATCATCTTTTATTTTATAGATTAATTTAACAATAAACTTTCTAAATTCCTTGTCTGACATTTCTTCCATGCAGTTCAGTGGAGTCTGCTATTGAGTCACTCTGGTCTGTTTGGGTTGGTTTGTTCCCTTGCTTTTTCATATTGTTTGTGTGTCTACCCACCTGTCCGACTAGATCTGAAGCAGTGGTGTTTCTAACCAATATACTTGTTGTGATCCTGTAGGTTTCCTGTGCCTYGTCTATTAGAGGGGAGCAAATAATTGCAACCAACTATGCACACAATATATAAATAGCACTAAATGAAGTACTTAATTCCTATTTTGACACAAAGTTAATTGACACAATAAACAGCTATGGTAGGCTCAGCAATTGCTATCAGTAAAGACAGTAAGTAATCATGAATTACATATGACATAAAATCAACAATAAGTGTTTTCTATGACTTCTGTTGTATTAATCATTGCTATAGCATTAGTGGTGGGGTCTGGCATTTTTAAACCAATTAGTGTTAGGAGAAGTTCTTAAAGAAGGAAGAAGAAGGGATGGGGGATCAGAAAAGGGTTTGTACATTCCAGAGGTAAATAGGGCAAATGCAGAGGCAATGTAGGATGTGTTGTTTGTGAAGAGGGAGGAGAAAAACTAGAAGTAAAAGAATTGAAGGAAGAGTGAAAGAGAAAACACTAGAGTTTGGCTGTTAACAAGAGAAAAAAAGGAAATAGAAGCAAAGGGAACCAGTTGTGAAACAGACAATACAAAATCAATCCCAAATATACTAATCAAAAACCCTAACCCCCTCAAAAAACAGTGTAAGGAAAAATAACTACCTTCAAGAAATGCTCACAGAGAAGTAGTTTTCTCACTGTTTGAATCCCTTGTCACAGAGCTCTGAGAAAAGCCACTTCCCTCTAATCTGCCATCTTGTCTCTCTCAGATTCTAATGAATGATAAAATTTTTCATGAAACCAAAAATATTCCATGAACCCAAGTTTATAAATATTTTAGGAGAGATACTTCACGTATTTTATTTGCATAATGTGTCATTATCAACCTCTGTGTTTAATATTTCTTCAGAAAAAAAAACTCACAAAAATTTTTTTAAAAGGCACTGAAGAAACAGTTTCTCTAGTTGATTGTAGAAAAACATTCCTAAACTTTCCCAATTAATTGCTTTTSTAGAAATGTATCAGGCTTTCAAATAAAATACATGCCACAGGTCTGGAGTTGTGGCTCAGTAGTAGAGCACTTGCCTGGCATGTGTGAGGCCCTGGGTTCAATCCTCAGCAGTGCATATAATAAATAAGATAAAAGATCCATTTACAACTAAAAAATATTTTTTAAAAAATAAAATAAAATATATGCCACCAATTTTCTTTCTTTCTTTTTATTTATTTATTTATATTTATTTATTTATTTAATACACGACAACACTGGAATGCAYTACAATCCTTATTACACATAAAGAGCACAGTTTTTCGTATCTCTGTATATAAAGTATGTTCACGTCAACTTATGCCATTATACATGTACTCTTTTTTTTGCACTACAATTCTTAATACACATATGTACCACAATTTTTCATATCTCTGTTTGTATATAAGGTATGTTGACCCCAAATTCATGTAAGGTATGTTGGCCCCAAATTCATGATTTTCTTTCTTTAGATTGAGTTTTTAGCAGTAATTTAGCAATTGAAACTTCACTCAACAGAACATATAAAACACATAGTGAAGAAAGTGTCTTTTCCTCACCCTCCAGAAATCATCTACTTTTACAGATATATAGAACTAAATTCAGAAAATTACACAATACACACTTTTTGCCATTTATTAGATTAAGAAATTGATATTTTTAATAGAAAAGAAGGGAGAGAGGAAGAGAGGTAAAGAAAAATGAATGCCAGAACATATCCTCCAGTTTGATATAAAATATTTTATAATTTACATTAATGTACTTAATATTTTCATATCAAATGTTGCCTCTTTTTTTCATTTTTAAAAGCCTATCATAGAAAAGTTAATTATCTAAAATGGTTCATGTGAAGTGTTAACAAGTTTGAATTATAACTTAGTCAATGAAATGTTATATTTTATATTTTATTGCTTTGCTGCTTGTTTAGTAACCATCTTTGCAGTCTGTCTAAACAATTCTCTGTGCACTGACATTTGCAATAGTGTGTTTACATCACAAAGTTAGGCCCTGTCGTTTGATATAACAAGAGGCTATATTCTGCAGCACCCAGACACTTTGCATACCTCACTTCCTCTTTGGCAAGAGAACATAATCCTTTTTCATCTGTCGTGTTAATTACCTTTACAACATTAACAATAGATTACTAAAAATCAATGGAGGGGGAATAGATTAATTAGGTTCCATGGGGTTAAGAAGTGTCATATGCTTTTACTCAGTGAAGATCTATTTGAAAACTGCAAATTAATTTTCCACAAAGCTGGAAAATGTACTCTGATTTTCATCTATCAGTTCTTGGTCTTCTTTTAAGACTGATCATAGCACAAAATTAACAATCAATAATTAACAATGCACTCTGACTCCACCATACAATCCTGGAATGGAAAGGAATGTCATATTTCCTTAAACACGCAGATGACCTATAGCATTGTAGAATATGTTCTCCATCCTTAGGAGGCGGTTGATGCCCCACCCAGATATCTGAGGGATCCCTTTTACTAAGCTGGTATCCCACTCCTCTCCAAAGGTGTTGCCACCAATTTTCTCCAAAGTACTGCCGTGGGGTTACCAGAGC